CCCTTCTTCAGAAAATGAAGAAGGGTCTAGACCCGAAACGTCAGCTTTCCTGCTCCTCTGATGCTGCTTGGCCTGCTGTGTTCATCCAGCTCTACACCTTATTATCTCTGTTGTTTTTCATTAAGCCTTTTCACATCTATCTCCATTTGTGACTCAGTACCCTGAAAAAGGTGGCAAACCTGGCAAGGCAATGGTATCAGTGATGTGGCAGAAAAGCAGGTAGATGGAGTCATGATTCAATTAAATGGTGAAGGAGGTTCGAGGTGTTGAATGACTTCATGTTCCTTGTAGGTTCTCGTGGAAACATTAACGCTTTGAGGCAGAAGTGCAAGGGACTATCACCATTGATGTCATGACCTTTCCACAGTAGCTTTGTCAGGGTGCTTTGCCTATAATACTGAAAATTGCCTCATTTATGTGTCCAAGGGCAACCAATGATCACTTGCATCTATGCAATTAGATGTCAGTTGCTTGGTTACCAAAATGCACCTTGCCATGTCTGACACACCCTCAGTAACAATCTCTGCATGTTACTGTCATTCCTGTTGAACTAGTAGGTGTTTACCCATGAGGCTCTGAGGGTTTGCCCTCCTTTTGATCTTCTCTGTTCGGTGGCTGAACTCAAACGAATGTTCACAATGTCGCCTATTGCATAAATTGTTCAACATATAGTTTAAAGCAAGGGCAAATGACTTTGTTTTTGCGAATTCCATGTAAATTATCTGCGTGAAATTCAGGAGAGAGCAGCGCCAGTGGAACCAGTACTGTAAACAACTGGGTTTGGAAACCAGAATAGCAAATGAAATCAATGCTACTGATGAACATTTAACCAGGCATAGCAAAACTCGAGGAAAGAAATGTTACTCTAAGCTCCAACTGCAGTCGGAAGATTGCAGCCTAAAGTGGCCCTCAGGATACTAAGCCGCAAAGGTTTTTCACTGGAGGATTCAATAAGAATCAGGAAGGACTAGCTGTTTGCCTATGAGCCTGGAATTGAATACAAATACTCAGAAACAGCAGAAGGCAGTGATATTTCTCCATCACGTACTCATCTTGTAGCACAGCAATTCAAGTAGTTCAATTACCTCACCAAGACAGTCAATGTTAGAGGCAGTTGTGTTGAATGGTTTGCTAGTTGATAGATGCCTGAGATCACTTTTCACAGTAAACAGAGAGAAATGTTACGATATCATTTTGGAGAAGGCAAGCTGGAAGTACCAGCAGGAAACAACCAGTTAATGTGGTTGACGTCAGTCAGTGGGACATCTTCGACACAATCTCCAATGACACCATATAAAGAGGTATCTCTCGAGGTTTTGCAGGAAAGCAAGCTAAAAAGGAAGGAAGGGATAGGAGCATAGGTGCCAGCTGCAGTTTGGTCATAATGTTCAACTTTTATCCTCTTAAAGTATTGCAGAGCACATAATCTGGCATCGTAATACATAAGAAATATCCCTCATGTCAGTCTTTGTACTGAATCTCTTTTGAGTTAATTGTTCTGATACCAATTGAATAACTACATTATTTTAGTGTGGATTTATGACCTTATTCATTGGCTTAGCCAAAATCATTTCATATTGAATGGATCTGGTGGCAACTATGTTCCTCAGCTGCTCCTGTTGAGAATGAAAGAACATACATTTACATCAGCGATAGTAGGAACTGCAGATGCTGGAAAATCTGAGATAACAAGGTGTAGAGCTGGATGAACACAGCAGGCCAAGCAGCATCCTCCTATGACGCTGCTTGGCATGCTGTGTTCATCCAGCTCTACACCTTGTTATCACATACATTTACATGGTGCCTTTCAATATCTCATAATATCCCAAATCTCTGTAGATCTAATGAATTACTTTTGGACTCCTGAAACTTTGGACATGTGACAACCAATTTTGCGCACAGTAAGCTGCAAGGAGAAAATAGTTTATTTCATCAGTTTCAGTGATGTTGTTTGAGAGGTAACTATTGGCCAGGCTGCCAAATAGAACTTCTATACTCCTTTGAAAGTAGTTGGACAGCATCTTTTGCCTACACGTGACACCTCAGTCAGATTGGAAGATCTAAGTGTTATTATCCTATTTCCAAACAATATCAGATTTTATAAACTCCTTCAATGCCGTTGCTAATTTACTACTTGCTTTATTTTCCTTCTGCAGTTTTTCTTTCCCATATTACATAGTAATTAATTATTCTTTTCTTTGTGCATTAGGTGCTGAGGAGGCCGTAGAACAGAAATGGTCATGGATTAACCCATTCTGTAGTATTAAGACAAGCAGAGACAACATGCCTGTACAATGCAACCTGTCTGAAATCCATGAGAAGCCATTCTGGTCGCGAGTGTGTTGTATAAATGCAATCATTCTCATGTGTGTGAACATTTTCCTGTATGCGTACTTCGCTTGATAAAACAAATTACCTGAAAGACACTGGGATGAAAGAGTTTGTGATGTGATATATATAGAAAGGAATTTCAGTGGTATATGCAGAACAATTGATTTCACATTTGTCCCCTCACAACTGCTGTGTTCACTGTTTCTATAACTTCCTGCAGCCCTCCAAGATGTATCCAACTTTGGCGTCCTGAATATTATCAATTTGAGTTGCTCCATCATTGGCAGCAACGCCTTCAACTGCCTTGGCCCTAATCTTTTGGATTCTCTCTCTAAACCTCTCTGCCTTTGCATCTCTCCTTAAAATGTGCCTCCTCAACAAAGCTTTTGATTGCCTGTCCCGATATCATCTTATGCAGATCAATGTCAAATTTTGTTTGATAGTGCTCGATGTGATGTTTCACTGCATTAAAGGAGCTGTGTAAACACAAGTTGTTGTTGTTGTTGTGCTGTACCTATGCTTTGAGGCCCTAACTTTTTAGTCCCATAAACTGACAATTAATACATCGCTTTAATTGGTAAATACTGACAAGAAAACCTGTCAGAAAATGCTAGGAATATGCAACAGGTCAATGAGCATCTGTGACGTTTCTGGTGTGTGCCCTGTATATTGTTTTAATTTCAGATTCCCGTGTTTTTAGTCTTAATCTTACTGTTCCAATGTGATGTGGGTGACATGTGTAACTATTAAAATTAACCTTTCCTCACTAAATCCTGGTCTATGAGTTTATTGATGTCAGAATTAACTAATCACTATGATACCAATAAATCCAGTAGAACTTTTCATGACTTAGATTATAAATCTCACTGTCTACTTTTCAACTCCACTGCCTCACTGCCTGGCCCTGTCCAGCTGCCTCACTGTGTATCCCAGAACATTGCTGCACCTTACTACCTCCTTGTCGAGTTTCCTCTGATCTGCCTGCCCAACCAGGCATTGCATTTTATGATTGTAACTTGACTTAGGCAAGCAATTGATGGGTGTGTGAGGTGAAAAAAAATAACTTTTAGTGAAGTAGCTGGATATTTCCAGTTTGGAACTGAAATGAGTGGATAACACACTTGATTGCACATATCACTCAAAGTGACAACTTCTTTCACCACTGGAGAAATGATATTTCTTAAGTATTGTGCCTGGGTATGTATTGTAGCAGTTCAGCAGATCTCATGAGTAACTCTTGCCAGTTTAATCCTGTAACGTTAAGAGACAAAACAGCCAGAAACAACATTCCTAACCAAAAACAGAAAAAGAAATACACTTGGGATAGTGCAATGTTCTATTATTTTTCATTTAAAACTGAAACACCCCTGTGTTTAGTATGAACAAAAACTGGAATTTATTTTTAAATGGTCTCGTAAGACAACAGACCTCTAATTTTACATACAAACTAGGAGAAATGCTGTCAATAATATCAAAGATGCATTGCAAAGTTGACAACCTCTGAGGGATTCTGTTTTCTTGAATCACCAGCTAATATTCTCAGGAATTATTTTTGATTCAGTATTAAAACGAGCTTGCAGTGATCCAAGTGCAAAGCAAATAAAGTCATGCACAAAGTTTGACAAAAATAGTCAGCAAGAGAAACACATGGTCCAACTAGTGGTAGTTTTGTGCTCATGTCAAAAAGGAAAGAATTTGCTATTGTACAGCATCTTCCATGAACCCAGGATGTCCCGAGGCGCTTTACAACTGATGGAGGACAGTTGAAGTGGAGAACGCCATTGCGAGAATGAGGTTTGATGTCAAAACAGAAGAGGCAGATGTAACAGGCCTGGTCCTTCCACACACCAACAGGCTCAAGCTGCTGCCGCGAGTTACTGGACCATTGGCTGGACGTAGTTCCGTGGGAAAAAACCAATGCGGCCTCTGCACCTTCCCTTCCACCAGTTTGGGTCCACACTCTCCACAACTTCAATGATGTCGCCTCGATAAAAGATCAGCTCTGAGGGATCTTGGGGAGAAAAATCAAAGCATGCCTGGACGTGTTCGGGTTTCTGTAACTAAAGTGAAAGAGCAATGGTTTTAAACACTCTCAGTAGTAGAACTTTCAGTCACTTAAGTTGTGCAACACAGGAGTGGTGAGCACAGCCCACTGTTGTTGTTGTTGAAGTGCTGGATCAAAAAAGGTTAGAATTTCAGCTAAATTAGAGACATCATTGTGACTCAATGGTTAGCACTGCTGCTCCACAGCGCCAGGGACCCAGGTTCAATTCCACCCTCGGGCGACTGTCTGTGTGGAGTTTGCACATTCTCCCTGTGTCTGCGTGGGTTTCCATTGGGCGCTCTGGTTTCCTCCCACAGTCCAAAGCTGTGCAGGTTAGGTGGATTGGCCATGCTAAATTGTCCATTGTGCCCAGGGATGTGCAGGCTAGTTGGATTAGCCATGGGAAATGCAGGGTTACCGGGATAGGGTGCGTTTGGTTAGGATGCTCTTCAGGGGGCTGGTGTGAACTCAATGGGCCAAATGGCCCTCTGTCACACTGTAGGGATTCTATGATGCTGAAGTTTCAGGGGAGATGAAGGTTTTTTTTATGCTTGTGAGTTGTTATGATCTACAGAGCATTGGGTGGTGCAGCCTGTTTAGTTACAAAAGGGATTTACATGTAACATTTGAAAAGGAAAATTTACAAAGCAGTTGGGAAACAGCAAAGGATGAGTACAAATGGATAGCTCATTGAAAAGTCACCTGCAACACACAATGTCAAAAGGGCTCATTCTCTGTTGCATGGCACCACACCAAATAATGCCTCTATTCATTAGGCTATTGTAGGAGATATTATGGTATTTTAATTACGGTATTATTGCTGGAGTCAATCTCTTACACCATACATTAATCCCTATGGAAATCATATACAATAGTGTAAAATCAAAGCTAAATATAAAAGCCAAGAGAAGGGTGTATTGTACGTCAGATCAGAATCATTGTAGCACAGAGAAGTGAAAAGAACTACTGTTAAAACTTAAAAGCAGAAAGTGCTGGGAAGATCAACAGGTTGGACAGCATCTGTGGAGTGAGAAACAGAGCTAACATTTTGACTCCAAAAATATGACTGATTTATATTGGGAAAAATGGTGGAGCTCTGGTAATGTCACTAACCCAATATTCCAGGTGCCCATGTTAATGGTCTGGGAATGTGGGTTCTGATCTCATCGTAGTGTCTTGGTGGTGTTTGCATTCAGTTGATCAGTCTGGAATATAAAGACAACTTCTGAAATAACTCCCCAGAAGCTGGTATCCTGTCACCAAATCAGCATTTACTTACACGTGGAAAGTCCTTGACTCTGATTCAGCCTCGTCAAAGTCAACACCCAGAGTGTCAGAACCTCTGACACTCCTCTATTTATCTGTCAGCCAGGGCTCCCTGATCGAACCAGATTAAAAGCTCCAATCAGGGAATTCATATTCTATGATGTCCTGCTAGCTGACCTCATTATAATCATTACACCTCTGTTAACTGCCAAGGGAGAACTCGTCTAGCTTGCTAATATCCTTTTGGGAAAGAGCTCTGGCCTGGTTTGGCCTTTATGTGACTCCAGACCACAGCAATGCATTTCACTTTTAACTGCTTTCTGAGATGGTGTATATGGCAAGTCCTCAGTTCCAGGCCAATGAGAGACAGGCAACATATGCCAGCAATGCCCACACCTCATTTTTTTTTTAGAAACATTTTTCAGGTTTTGGATCCAAAATAACTCAGTCATATTTGTAGACTCAAAATGTTAACTATGTTTCTGTCTCCACAGATGCCACCAGAAATGCTGAGTCTCTTCCTTCTGCTTTTATTTCAGATTTCCAGCATCCCCAGTATTTTGCTTTTGTTTCAGTAATTATAAGACTTGTCTTGCTGAATTAAACAGAGTTTCAACAACAAATTTGGGAAACTATTTGCCTTAATTATTCAATGAGTATTGGAATTATTGGGGAAGAGATGGAGCCCGTTGGTAATTGATTGAGAACTTGGGGAAAAACTGACATACCCCTGTCCAGAATCCGAAGTGGTGTCTATTACAAGAATAAGAATTGCCCTGAATAAATGTTGTGATGAGTCAGTCAACCATTGCACCCTCTAAGAATTGGAAAGAAAAATACACATGTCCTGCGTGACTGGCAAGAATACCTGGCAGCGGTTGGCACTGTGCTGGAGGTATATGTACACATTAGTTATAAATGAGATTACCAGCAACTGGTCTTAGATTGTGTTAGAAACTGGCAAGGTTTCAGTAAGTAGAGGAATAAATGAGCTCAGTGGGAGATCCACAAGCAAAGCTAAGGTTTTCCTTTAAATTCTGAAGATTGCAATATAGATGCTTACTAATGCATAAAAACGCTTACAGAATACTGAGAGGTCTGGATAGAGTGGGCGTGGAGAAGATGTTTCCACTAGCAGGAGAGACTAGAACCCAGAGAAATAACCTCAGAGTGAAGGGACAACCCTTTAGGATTGAGTCAGAAGTCACACGACGCCAGGTTATAGTCCAACAGGTTCATTTGAGATTACAAGCTTTTGGAGCGTAGCCCCTTCGTCAGGTGAAGTGAGAAAGAAGCACACAGAACACTGAATTTATGGGCAAAGAGATCAATGGCAGAGAGAGCAAAAGATCATACAAATAGTGTGAGTGCAGCGTCGAATAAGTTCCTGCAGGTGATCCAAAGTGTTAGATGGTGTGTGTAAAGTGTTCAACAGCTGAATAACAAGTGAAGGGACGACCTATAATCTGATTAAATGAGGTAGAGAGATAATTAGAAAAAATTAAAAATAAGGTGGTGTTGGAGACAAACCAAATGACTGGAATAACATGATAGGTATAAGAGGTGCATGCTGTCAATTGTGGATTGGAAATGAAATGGTGGTCCAGCCAATGACATCCACATCAGATTAGAGTGATAAATAATCCAAAATTGTACAAACTAATTCAGGTAGAGAGAGCATAACAATTTATCCAGGTGATGGTCAATCATGGACACACATATCTCCACCAAGGACAGACACCTCAGGACCTCACTCTACCACAAGCCCATGTATAAACTCATG